ATCTCTATCTCTCTTCTCTCTATCTCTGCTCTGCTCTCTATCTCTCTCTCCCTCCCTCTATCTATCTGCTCCTCTCTCCTCTCTCTCTCTCTCTATCTCTCTCTCTCTCTCTCTCTCTCTCTCTCTCTCTCTGTCTATCTCTCTCTCTCTCTCTCTCTATCTCTCTCTCTGTCTCTCTCTCTCCTCTTTCTCTCTCTCTATTTTAATGAATCAATTGCACAAAAATACGGCACATATGATGACGTACGGCGCTCTAATAAGAATGAAAGAGGAAGAGGAATTATTTTGCATAGATTGCTACGCGTTGACAATGATAACATTCTATCAGTAGACCTCACATGAGAATCAGGATGAAGACCTTGCATGTAATGTCCCCGCTGCATATATACCACTGTACAAAACACTGCATAGTACAAAATCTGGCTACGTTAGTGTGTTAGCGCATGCGCAATATCTCACCAGAACAGTTATATTTTTGAGATGATAATAAATTTAATATGCTACGGGGTCTTTCAGCATAGGTAATAGTAAATACAAGTGATCGGCATAGAAATAATTGACATGACATTCTTCCGTATGCATTTAAATTAATAGCAATTCATAAGATATAATCTCCCATTGCCCCTCCTCCCACGCTTTATTCCACACTCGCTCCTCCCCCTCCGATCCCTCCTCCCTCTTCCCTCTTCTCTCCACCCTTCCCCCCTCCCACGCTTTATTCCACACTCGCCCTCCCTTCCGATGGCCTCTCCCTTCCTCCTTCTTTCTTCACCCTCCCCCTCCACTTTATTCCACACTCGCCCTCTCCCTCCGATCCCTCCTCCCTTCTCCCTTTTCTCTCCACCCTCTCCCTCTCACACTGCTTTATTTCACACTCCCCCTCCGATCCCTCTCAGAGCTCTCGGTTGCTCCCTCCCCCCTCTCTCTTTCTTTCTCTGTATATATATACTTCTCTCTCTCTTTCTTTCTTTTCCCTCTCCCGTGTGTGTGTGTGTGTGTGTGTGTGTGTGTGTGTGTGTGTGTACAAATATGACCATCACTAATATATTTAACAATACATATAACAATCCCTAAAACGCCGGTAATTAAAGACAAATTAATGATTCATTCTAATTTTTCGTAATAGCACATATTCTTATTCGGTTGAAGGGTCGCCATGGTTATTGCCATGTCAGTTTGTTCATCCAATGAAAGGTCACACATTTTGCTCTTGAAGTTGTAGTCAAACGATAAGCAGCGGGTAGGGTTCGAGTTGCAATACTCGGCGCAGACTACGATATCAGATTTTTTTAAACGAATCTGCCAAAAAAAATAGAATAGATGTTAGCAAATACTTGTGCAAATTAACAAACTGTACAAAATGTTTTGTTGTTACAGAATGCTGTTAACACTATATTAGATACGCGGAGACTCGCTAAGTGGGAAAGCCTATTTATATCATTAATCACTTTTGATTAAGATTACAATTTAGCCGACGGAGATGTTTCAATTCAATAATATACGAATTATTATTTAAAAATTACTACTTAACGTATTAAACAAGGGCTAGTATATATACTAATAAATATTTGAAGATTTACTAATTAATATATGAAACAAGAGATTACGTACCGCGTCGGCACGGCTGTTGAGGAACATCTGGAACAGGATAAGGTAGCCAGGTACAGAAGGACAATCCGCCACGAATTCACTGCAGTCCAGACCTCCAAAGCCAGGAGGACATTCGCAAGATGTATTGAAATAAAGAGGGTCTACAACACACGTGCCAAATGTGCATTCAACTCCCTCACAGGGATCAATCTCGCACGCGTCACCAGCTATTCCTGTCGGGCACACACACGAGGCCTTAAAGGAGATGGGGTCAACAACGCAAGTACCATTGTTACAATCTAATGTACTGCATGGGTTAATCTCACACATAACTCCAAACACACCTGGAGGACAGAGGCAGAATGGATCATACGAACCAGGATCGACCAGACAAGTACCGTTGTTGCAATCCAGTGTACTAGTACTACATGGGTCCATATCACACATGGCTCCTGTTATTCCACGAGGACAAGCACACGAGGCAGTATAGTTAAGGGGATTAACAACGCAAGTACCAGTGTTACAATCTAATGTACTGCATGGATTCATCTCACACATAACTCCAAACACACCTTGAGGACAATGGCAGAATGGATCATACAAACCAGGATCGACCAGACAAGTACCATTGTTACAATCTAATGTACTGCATGGGTTAATCTCACACATAACTCCAAACACACCTGGAGGACAGAGGCAAAATGGATCATACGAACCAGGATCGACCAGACAAGTACCGTTGTTGCAATCCAGTGAACTACATGGGTCCATATCACACATGCCTCCTGTTATTCCATGGGGGCACAGACAAGCGGGGGCATAGGAAACTGGGTTAATAAGACAAGTACCGCTGTTGCAGTTTAATGTACTGCATGGGTCCACTTCACACATTGCTCCTGTTATTCCATGGGGGCACAGACAGGAGGCGGCATAGGAAACTGGGTTAATAAGACAAGTACCGCTGTTGCAGTTTAATGTACTGCACTGTTCGTGACCTTGCGGCCGCTCGGTAGAGGTCGTGTCGCAGTCCTCAGCTCTACTCTCCGAGCCGCACGGACACATACACATCGGCAAACCACCGTGAGGCGCCAATACGCAAATGCCATATCCACAGTCCACATCGTCGCAGGCGTGTCTGTTGCAGTCGTATCCGTAGAA